ATTTCACACTTAATAACATTTTTTTTGCAGCACAAAACTAGTTCGATTTAATACAATTTAATATTTATTTTAGCCGAAATAGATAAAATAATTCTTTCCGCCGTTAATTCTGTTTATTGACTAAATACATAGGTTAGAAATATTTGAATTGAAACGTCAAATATTTATTTATATTTTTATTAACATTAACTATTAGGCTAACCAAAATTTACTTTAATAAACTGATTATATATTTTTGTATTTTATTTAATCAACAGTAGTTAATGAGCCTATTGTCACTTAGTTAAACTCATTAAATTTATGTTGCTCTATTTTAATTTTTAAGTAGTTTTCTAGGCATAATGTAGGTATCGATCCGGCAAGTGTGTCATGCGCAATATCTCTAGATTGTTGTTATTTATTAATTTTTAAATGTTTTGATAAGCAAATTTCAATATAACTTTCATTAATCTCGTTAGCTTTATTTATTCTCTTAATTATATAAATGATTGATATTAATTATATTTTCCTTTGACATATAACTTTTTCTCTCTTTATGTCTTTATTCAGCTCATGGTTGGCAATCCATATTTTATCAAGCGCTTGTGTTTTTATCTGGCTATTTCTTTGTGGCAAAAAAGGTTTTCGTTTTTCTTGGAACTACCTTGGTTTGGTCACTTTATGTTCAGCTAGTGTGAGGTACAGAGGCATCTCGGTATTTTTGTCAAGTTTTTGATTTTTACCCTTCTGGGGATTTTCGAGTGTGCCTCAAAAATGATTGCAGCACCCTATCTTACCTTTTGTTTTTTTGGACGGTGCTACAGTTTGCCGGTAACAGGATTTTTACCTCAAAAAGCTGACGTAGGTCAACCAAGCAGTCCGCATTTTTTTTGTCATTGAGCACCCCATTCCATCCAGGGGAAGAACTAAATTAATCACCTGAGGATTCGTAGAAAACTCTGAGTTAGCAGGTAAAGCCTATTTTTTATATTAATACATTTCTTTCCATTCTTTTTTCTTCTTTAAAAAAAACTTTTTTTATGGTATCTCGTACTATGAAGAAACTGTAATATTATTTCTCCGTAGGGTTTTTTTGTCTGGGCCGAAGAAGTTTTTTTGTCTGGGCCGAAGAAGTTTTTCTTCTGCGTTCTTGCAAGACATTTTCTCTGAAGCAGTTTTTTTTGTTGGAGCAGTTTTTTTTGCTGGTACCCATTTTACTTTTCTGGAGGAGTTGACAGTCGACGGTTGACAGTTGACAGCCGACGGTGTCTGCCCAAGATAGATAGAAGATTTTCAACTAGTTGGTATCGTACAATCCAATTTTTTTTATTGTTTTTTTTCTATCTTACGATTTGAATTTTGATGGTGCCAACAAATACTGAGCGTAGTTAATTTTTTTAACATTATAATGTAATTAGAAGAAATTTTCACATACCCAATTCTGTTGATAAAATATTTAATTTTTTTTCTCTTTAATTTTTTTTGTAAACTTAAAACAGTTTCTTTTTGTCTCTATTTAAAATTTAAATCTATTCATTTTTTATTATCGATATCTATATTTCTTGAATTGATGAATTCGTGATTATTAGTTGATTATTTTATTTATTTAATAATTATATTATTGATTTTTATTATTAATGAATTAGTTTAGTATTATTTATTTGATTTATTACTTTGTTGATTAATTTGATATATTATCTCAATTTGGTTGCGCTGATGTTTACATATATATTTTTTTTGCAAATCTTACGTGATAACGAAAGGTACCTAGGTATTTACGTAATTTTGCTACTTGCGTATTATGATATATATATATTTCTTGGTGCACAATTTTTTTATCGATTTATTTAATTTATTAATTGCTATTTGGTATTTTCTATTTACTGTTTCCTATCTTTATTTTTAATAGAGGTACTGAAACTAATCAGTTTGCATTATTTTTTTTATATTTCCTTTGGCCCTATGTCTACCTAATTCTCTGAAATTCTTATTTTTTTTTGTTTATTTTATTTATGTATTTGTGGAACTTGTGAGGTCCTAAATATACCTTGGGGGATTTCTGACTTTTTCCGTCTAAAGTCAGTGGCGCTCTTAACCCGCCCTTAATCTCCGAATTTTCTGAGCTAGGGCATAAATTTGTTCACGAATAGACCCCTGCAAATTCCATAAATATTTATTTTTCTTAATCGCTAACTAATCCCCGCGTTAATCCCCTCCTAAGAAATTAGACCGGGCATCTTAAGTACGTTGCGTTCCGCGAAGATTGAAATTAAAAACAATAGTCGTATTAGAATATATTTAAGTATTAAAATGAATTATAAGGTTGATAAAAAATTAAAACCCACACTCGGCCATACTGACTAGAAATACGGCTCGGATTCGCTACCAGTTTCGACCCAAGGTTTCATGTACTCAGCACAAGTCGTGCTGAGACTTGGTCCTTCTGAATGTCCAACTTTTACAACTTCATATCTTTCATTCAGATTACACTTTGACAGTTCAAACCCTGGTTGGTTCAATCCCTGTTACAGTTACTCCGCATAAAACTCTTAATTTTTGTAGAGGTGTTATATCCTCAAGTCAACTTCAATTCTGCACTGATAAAGAATTACTAGAGGGTCTCAAAGCTTGGGTTGTAGAAGTTAGAAGGATTCCTTCAAAAAAAATGGCGAAACTATACAGACAAATACGATTATATTAAAATTTAAAACTCACTGTCTACCAGAGAAAATAAATGTTGGCTATCTAAAACTCTCTGTCCGTACATATGTGCCTAATCCTCTACGCTGCCTCAATTGTCAGCGTTTTGGACATGTGTCTGCAGCATGTAATCACCCCCCAATTATGCCCTTCTTGCAGTAAAACTCATGCGGATTCAATTTGTTTGCCTTCTCCGGTATGTTCTAATTGTGAAGGAGATCATTCTGCAAGGTACAGAGGATGTCCAATATATGAAATGGAATATGACATACAAAAAAAAACGTATCATAGAGAAGCTGACGTATCATCAAGCTAAAGAAAGAGCAAAGTCCTCAGTTGTAACTCCAACGAGTTCTTTTGCATCCAAACTTAAACCAATCTCGAGACTTCAATCAGTATACAGTGTGACATGTCAAAAATAGACTATTCGGCTACTTTAAAAAATAAAAATGCCCAAACCAATAACAGTTCTAAAAACAAATACTCGACCACGTCCTCTAACTCGTGTCTCCCTCCCCCTCCTAGTATTTATTTAAAGTATGCATGTACTAAATACTATTATCGCAGATGATACAAACGTCATAATTATAACCAAAAAGTTTCCTGTCCATGTACTTTATAGATGATTTTTCACTATCAGATTCACGTAATAAAGAACCGTTTTTTAATTTCTTAACAGCTTTTAATTGTCCTACAGTATTAGTCAAAGTCTTGTGTATAAAAAATGAAGATACTGAAACAAAAGTATCATTATCAGTACGAGAAACTACAAAAAATCTTTTGGACCCTAAAGAGGGGAATTTTAAATTGAGATTATCCATAGGAGTCCCACGAGTATGGATGAAATACCTCAGCTACCCTAATTACTATGGAGGGACGGGAGATACTCCATAGGCATCGTCCGAGGCACCTGATATCCTCAGGTACCATTCAGTCCTCATCACGGTAGCCAACAATTTGACTTAAGGATATCAACGAATATGAAACAAAAGGACGAAAACAGTACAGAACCAGGAACACACAAACAGGACTGGGGAACCCCGGGAGCGTCAAGCCCGCGACACAGAAGTTAATCAAATTTCTATGTCCCCTGGGGGGTCTAGATCAGATAGTTAGGAATTTTCATACAACAAATTGTTCGACATAATTTTACACTCTAAGAGGATGAAGTTCCTAAAATCGCTTTACGTAGCTAATTCACTAATCACTAATGTCATTTAAACGAACCTTTGTGCTAATATTTATGTATCTAAAGCTGGCGGCATCGGCATGAACTAACCCTTAAAATATCTAGAAACTTAATATATAATCTAACTGACACACCACTGACAATGACGAATAATTTATTTCTGGAGGTATTGTGGATAGGTGTTTTCAGGTATGTTTTAATATTTATTCGTTTTACATAAATAAATAGCCATTAAACGATATAAAAATACTTCATAACAAATCTAGATATAATATACCTTTTATTTAAAAAAAGAATCGTCAAGCTTGGTGAAGAAGTTTCAGAGGGATGGATGTAAAAAGAACCTTTGAGTTTTTATAAATATATGTATGGATTAAAATTTCTATTTGTTTTTTCATTCACCCTGTATTTATAACGTAAGACAGGATTGACAGGTTTGACATTTAATAGGTGATAGGTTTGACGTAAGACAGGTTTGACATTTGACAGGTGACATAAGATAGGTTTGACAGATGACATGTTTGACATATGACGTAAGACAGATTTGACGTATGACAGGTGACAGGTTTAATAATAATAATAATAAGTCAATAATAATAATCATCATCTTTATTTCACATTGTGCATAAATTTTTACAGAAAATCTGAAAATATATCACAAAGGAAATAGTGCCACAGATAATAAAGGTCTTAAAAATGTACTTTTTTTCTATAAACAAGCTGTTTTATAATACCCACACACACACCTATGTCCCCTCCAGAAAGTCTCTGACCGAGTATGGTTCCATACCAATGATAAGTGCCTTAAGGTTTTGTTTGAATCTTCTAAAATTTAATATTTCTTTTATATTATTTGATAGTTTATTAAATAACCTGAGACACATATAATATGGATTCCTCTCAGTCAGAGTTAATCTGTGTACTGGGTTTGACGTTAGATAGATGACAGGTGACATGTTTGGCGTTTGACAGCTGACAGGATTGACAGGTGACAGATGACGTCAGAGGAGGGAGACTTCTTGACGTTACTTCTTGCTCCTTGCTCCTGCTCCTTCAGGCGCAGAAACCCCCATCTCCCTCTACTAAACAATTTTTATCTTAAAATCAAAATAATAAATAGTCAACTATGTACCTGTATCTCCTGTTACTAACACAGGATGACCTACATATAAAAGTCTTTCCATTATATATCCAAATCTAACTGTGTCCAAAGTAGGAACTAATATATCAAAAAATGGAACCTTTTTGTCATAACTATATTCTGGCATTAATTTCTGCCAAGATGTAAGTCTGTGAGTTTGAGTATCCATGAAATTATACCATAAATCTTGACCAGGAGGCAACCTTAATTAATAATATGCATTTTGGTCAATAATTGTTTTAAGGTAAAATCTAATATTTGTAAGAAAATAGGTACGTAAAAAATAAAAAAAAACATATACCGTGTGGTGCATCGAAACACGGGACGTATGAAATCCCATGTAAATTTTGAAAAGGTTAAATATTTTCTCCCCAGATTTTATATAAACGTTGTATTAGACTTGAAGAAGCGTTAAAGTTGTATGTATGTTGACTAATGTCACTTTTTATTTTGTTCGGAAGGGGCATTTAAATATTATTTGCAAAAATATACCTCCAAATTAGTAATAGTACGTTGTGCAACTCCAGCGAATGAGCGCACTCATAATGGTGTTTAATAATTTATGTTTTTTATTAATTAAAAAAATGCAACGTAATCAAATAAACAAAAAAATAATTTAAATATCAACCTCCCTTCTTTAATATTGACACTTCGAGACTGTCTTTATTGCTTGTCAATTTTGTGTGTGCCAATGAAAATTTGGGTTCGAGAAGTTTACTTGTCACACTCAAATCGACATTAAATTTGCTCAAAACTGGTGAAATTATTGTGAAGTGGGCAATTAGCATCTTTTCGACTCCAAAAGAAAGCGAAAAGATACTACTTTCCCCGCATGAGTAATAAAAAGTTTATAATACGATTCAGAAGAAGCTACAATTAAAACACCAGCAAAAATATGATTGTGTTGTTGTCAAATTCTAATTCTAAAATACTGATGCTATGATACTAATGTCACTCGAAAAAAGTTTAGTAGTCAGTTTCAAAAGCTTTAGATCTCAAAAGAAGAGACAATCAATTTGTAATTTCAGTTTTTACATGATTCATCACACAAGGATTAAACAAATTATGGGGATGCACTTTTAACAATTAATTATTGTAAAATGTTACTACAAAGAAAACTGACTGAATATAAGTTTTCAGTAGTTTTATTTGAATGTCTCATTTTTACACCACTTGACCCTAAGATAAAGGTTTGAAGTATTAAGAAGAAAAAGAAGAAAAATTTTATAATGTCTATAAATCCCAGCAAAAATTACCTAGCATCAGCGCAGTCATCAAATTGGCTTTGGACGTAAACATCGAATTTCTCTCGACTATCTTCGTTTATGTTGCCTCCTAATCCCCAGATATAGGAGAAGATAAATGTTTGGCAAATAAAGTTTCTTACTTTTAGTTTTTCTCCAATTTTTTCCATGGCACCAGGCATAGAAAATAAACTTTCAATTAAAGAACAAACCATTTTTGCTTTGGACACATCTACCTATAAATGGATAAAAGATTTAATGGCGAACATCTATATTTTATATATTTATTCGAGTTTGATTTTCTTGGAATTTAGGTTGGGAAGAACTCTAATGAGGTTTTCATTTGGTTTAAAACCTTTATTTAGCTTTAAAAACAAACCTTTCGGCTAAGCCTTCATCAGTATCTTGTCTATAACAAAATACAATTTCGATTTACTTGCTAACAAAAAAATTTGTTAATTCTTTTTTTATTTGAAAAAAATAAATTTATACAAATCACAACACATACAGGTTTGCGGTGGTGGCGCACCTCATTCGCCTCGGTTGATTATACGAAAACGGAACGATTTACAGGGTGGCGCCTCTCATACGCCGCGGAAGCTCCAAGGAGAACGGTAGTTTATATAGAAATGAAATTTTGGCAGCATATTATGTAGGTTAACTGAAAGCATTTTATAAAAATATATAGAATTTTACAGGGTGTCCCAAAAAAAGTTATACATCAAAGTTGCATTTTTTCTAATGGAATAACATAATACAGGGTTTCGCCTCTCATACGCCGCGGAGGCTTCAAGGTAGTGATGGGTTGTTATTTAACTATCTGTTATTTCATAACAATTATTTGTAAATAAGATAACGCAACCGTTACTACTTCTAAAATATAACAGATATAAAATAACGACACGTAGAGATCGGCCGCTCGTAAAACGAAAAACGAAGTCGGCGCTCTGCACCGTCACGAAATTCTATGCTGCTCGAAGCAATTCCAAAAAACAACTAGTATGGATGGAAAACATGTTATTTCGTCAACCATCGATACAGGCGGCAAGACAACGGACAACAGAGTGGGGAATGCGCTACGGCGAACGTAGCTGCTTCGGTCGATGCCGTCGATGGTCGTATTGGGTTTGCAACAGCTTAAAAATAATAGGATATAAAAGAAGCAGGTTTTTTGAAACAGTTGTGGGCATAACGCCTGGCGATCGAGATAACAGGAGTGGGAAAGGAACGCTGCTGCATCGGTCGATTGCCGATGGAGGCTCGCAACGGGTTGGAGAAGCAGTCATTTTAGATACGTTGTTTTTTAACCTGTTACGAGCATAACAGAGCGGCGGTCGAGATAATCGGAGTGGGAAAGGAACGCTGCTGCATCGGTCGATTGTCGATGGAGGTTCGAAACAGGTTGGAGAATAACGCATCAGTTGTTTTAGATAGTACATTGTTTTGCAACCTGTTACGAGCATAACGGGCGGAGGTCGAGATATTATGGCGCTGTATGTTTCAGTACTTACTTATTAAGTTTCAATATTTAGGTATTTATTTATTCTGAGAAATTTTCAGAATAATATAATTTTTATTGTTGTCGATCCAATAATATATAATGTGTTCTTTTTTTATAAATTGGATTAGGATCGAAAGAAATCAACAGAAGTCCTTTGTTTTAAATTTGTCGACGTTTCGCAAAATTTATTTGCATCTTCAGGACACTACAAAGTTAAGAGAGCAAAAAATACAATCAAATAAAAGTTTTTTTCAAAAATTTAACAAAAACTTAAAATACATATCAGTGGAATTCCACACATATACAATTGGTAAAACTACCCTAATGTTAACAATTAAATAAAATATATGTATATGTTACTCACATTTAAATCTGGACTTTCTTAGTCATATCCATTAATACACGGATGGTATAGAGGGGAGTGGTATATATCCCTTTTTTCCTTTTAAAACACATAACACACTTACATAAAAAAAAACATATAACACAATTATGTATAGAGAAATATCACGAAAATCTTTTCCTTTCACAGACAAGCAGTGCAGATGTACCTACGTTGACCGTATACAGAGAGCAACTAATTCTAGTTGATAAAATACTAATATAATTTTTACCTGGAGATAAAGAACAGTTGAAAAAAGAAACATATAAAAATATTATTTGGATTTAAACCATTATTTTGAAGTTATATTATTTAATTTTTGAAAGAATATTAAAATATGCTGTACTCAGGTTTTCTACGTCTGTTCTTTTATTAACGCAATTTTTGTTTTTTTGGATTTCTATCATCTCTGCAAATAATCTTTTCTTATAATTAGATTGTGTTTGTAAAATAGTGGTATTGTCAAAATCGAAGTTATGGCCTGTCTCTATTTTGTGTTCTACTAATGCGGTAGGATTAGATTTCAAAAGAAAGTTCCTTTGATCATTTTTATGTTCATTCAATCTTTGTTTTAAATATCTACCGGTCTGCCCAACATAGCTTTTAGGACATTGAGTACAAGGAATGTTATATATTATGCCGGATTTCAGTTCTTTTTTATTCTTTGATTTTGTTTTTGAAAAGAACCGTCTCTTTATGGTGTTATGACTCCTTGTTGTAATTTTTATTTTTTCCTGTTTTTTTGTAGTATGACCCTTAAATGTGTTTTTAATTTGTTCTGACAGACAGTCGATATAAGGTATTTTACAATAAACTTCTCTATCATTTTGGTTAGTAGATTTTACAACGGTTTTCTTGTTAAGAATTTTTTTAATCATAGATATTGGATAATTATTTTTAATCAACATGCTTTCGATATATTTTAAATTTTTATTATGAAAATTAATTGATGATAGTGATGTAGCTCTGATTTTCAGGTTATTAATAACATTAATTTTTTGTTTCAAAGAATGTTCGGAGGAATAATTGAGAAATCTCTCAGAGAATGTCGGCTTGTGATACCAATCTGTCTCTATTAATTGATTGTGTCTAATTAGTCTCACGTCAAGGAATGCTATGCTGTTGTTTATTTCTTTCTCCAATGTAAATTGTAGTTTAGGGTGATAACAATTAAATATGTCTAATATACTTTGTTCTTGATTAATAGGAATTGAAGTTATAATATCATCAACATAACGTTTAAAAAACGGCAATTGAAAAGGAAGTTTTTTAATACATTGATCCTGTAAATCCTGCATAACTAAATCAGAACAAATCGGTGATAAACAATTACCCATTCCCAGTCCATATATCTGTTGATAAAACTCATCTTGGTATTGAAAGTAGTTGTTATCAAAAATAAATGTTAACAGTTCAACAAATCTATGTAAGGGAATTTTTATTTCATTTTCTATAAGATGCCATTTCTTATTAACTATATTAATTACTATATCTGTAGGAATGTTAGTAAAAAGTGATATAACGTCCAAAGATATGAGTTGATAATCTTTAGGTAATTTAATGCTTTTTATATCATTAACAAATTCAAATGAATTTCGGACATAACTGTCGTTCTTGACAAACATACCATTTAAAAGAGATGCTAAAAAACCTGTCAGAGAGTACAGAGGTGATCCCACAAACGATACTATGGGTCTGAAAGGTCGATTATTTTTATGTATTTTTGGCTGAAAATAAATCTTCGGTGGATTAGCAGCACCAGTTTTTAATTTCTTACCTTGCTCGTTGTCAATAAAACCTTCTCTTACTAAAGTGTCAATAATTTTTTTGTTTTTATTTTGAACTGTTATCGTTGGATCTTTTTTTAATTTTTTATATGTCGTTTCATCTCTTAGAATATTTTGAGATTTTTCAAGATATTCAGTTCTATTAATGATAACGGTAGTATTACACTTATCTGCCTTTAATACTAATATATTATCTTTATTCTTACTAAGAAAAATAGCCGTTTGTTTTATCATGTTTTGAAATTGCTTTCTTTGAAAACTTAAAGAAACTTATTGGAACGAACAAAGTTTGTTGTAACATTTATACATTGATTTCGTATTTGAATGGTCGTCTCGTCTTCGAACATATCTAAAATATACTCCAAATCTATAATTAGGTCTTTTAAAGGTTCATTTCCTTTTTCGTAAGGTAAATTAAAATTTTCTCCTAAACTTAGTATATACTGTACCTCATTTGGTACATCTACATCACTGTGATTTACAATCATAAATATATATTATATTATATATTTATATATATTTACAATACATAAAAATAATCGACCTTTCAGACCCATAGTATCGTTTGTGGGATCACCTCTGTACTCTCTGACAGGTTTTTTAGCATCTCTTTTAAATGGTATGTTTGTCAAGAACGACAGTTATGTCCGAAATTCATTTGAATTGTTAATGATATAAAAAGCATTAAATTACCTAAAGATTATCAACTCATATCTTTGGACGTTATATCACTTTTTACTAACATTCCTACAGATATAGTAATTAATATAGTTAATAAGAAATGGCATCTTATAGAAAATGAAATAAAAATTCCCTTACATAGATTTGTTGAACTGTTAACATTTATTTTTGATAACAACTACTTTCAATACCAAGATGAGTTTTATCAACAGATATATGGACTGGGAATGGGTAATTGTTTATCACCGATTTGTTCTGATTTAGTTATGCAGGATTTACAGGATCAATGTATTAAAAAACTTCCTTTTCAATTGCCGTTTTTTAAACGTTATGTTGATGATATTATAACTTCAATTCCTATTAATCAAGAACAAAGTATATTAGACATATTTAATTGTTATCACCCTAAACTACAATTTACATTGGAGAAAGAAATAAACAACAGCATAGCATTCCTTGACGTGAGACTAATTAGACACAATCAATTAATAGAGACAGATTGGTATCACAAGCCGACATTCTCTGAGAGATTTCTCAATTATTCCTCCGAACATTCTTTGAAACAAAAAATTAATGTTATTAATAACCTGAAAATCAGAGCTACATCACTATCATCAATTAATTTTCATAATAAAAATTTAAAATATATCGAAAGCATGTTGATTAAAAATAATTATCCAATATCTATGATTAAAAAAATTCTTAACAAGAAAACCGTTGTAAAATCTACTAACCAAAATGATAGAGAAGTTTATTGTAAAATACCTTATATCGACTGTCTGTCAGAACAAATTAAAAACACATTTAAGGGTCATACTACAAAAAAACAGGAAAAAATAAAAATTACAACAAGGAGTCATAACACCATAAAGAGACGGTTCTTTT